GTGGCATTTCTTGACCTTTAAGTATTTGATTTTTGAAACCTATTTAACTTTTTGACGTAGGTGTTTTCGTGGGTTTTGTTAGGGAATGCCAAAAATTTTCTGCATGTAGGGGGAAAAAAAATAATTAATAAGAGCAACTGTATGACTGTTGTTCTGTTTTTAACCAAAGGGCCCTCCCTCTGTGCCTGTAACACCAGCCAAACTCTCTTAGCAGCACAAGCTTCTTACTCAGCTTTAACAAAGAAAGATAAACCACTGTTTTGCTTTGCCCTTCCCCCACCATTTACTCATTAGTTTTATTTAGTTTGATATTCTCTCCTCCTTGTATGGAAAAAACCCCCCATATTTAAAAAAAAATAATTATTTTTTACCCTATTAAGTTGTTGACTATGTATGTTCTTACGAAGAATTTAAAATAGAATGTAATTATAAATCACTGCTGAAATGAGCTTGTCCTGCAAAGGCAAGGACATGTTGTTGTGTCCTTTTATGACTGGAATCACTGTAAACAACTAATATTTCTATTTGCAGGGACAGAAATAACCAGCTCATTCAGCTGTACAGAAAGGAAGACATAAAAGGAAACCAAAGGCTAAACCAGAATAAGCCACTGGAAAGTTTTATGTCAACAAAACTGGATTTAAATTAAGTAACATCAACTCAGTATTTTGACTGTAAATGAATCAGAACATTAAAACATGTTTTAAAGGGAACATTTGTGATGAAACATCTCTGACTAGTTCCTACACTAAAGGAACAGGAAAGTTCCAACTTGTGTCTTCTCTGCAGGATCAAATCCGCACAGCAAAGTTATTTCTCTAGCTTTAGTACTACTTTGTAGACCCAAATTTTGAAAAGAGGAATAGCAGCAGAACTGCAAGGGAAACACTGAATAAATGACTTCTCAGCTATACACAACGGAAAATGCAGTTCTGATGACATAGTTAGAGGTTGCATCATACTACATACGCGTGAAGGAGTAAAATTAAAATTACACAGACAATTTCCATCCTTATGTTTTCTAATTTTCTGAGCGCTTGACTTTGCAACTTAAATCTCTTTTATGACTGTTTTTTTCCGACACTGATTTGCAGAAATGTGAGTAGATTTTAACATTTGCTACTTGCCTTACTCAGTGGGAAAATTTAAAAAAAAAACAACCCAAACAACCAACCAACCCCCCCAACCCCAAGCTCAAACCAAAGAAGTGCATTTCTAAGCTATCTGAAATGAGGGGAGATGAGCCAAGAGTCACCTTGCTTTAAAGCAAACAGAAACACAGTAGAGCTATTCTCCAGCGAGATAAAATAAGGAAATAAACTATTCATTCAACAACTACGATACACCCTTTCCAAATAAGAACAGAGAATTCATTTACTCGGTAATGTTACAATGGTGATAACAAATTAAAATTGTGGGCAGACAGCAGAGAACCAAGAAGATATACAATCCACAGCAAGGATCAGCCAAATTAAAGGGAACTTTTTACATTGACAAATTTTGAGTAATTAGTGCTTCCATTAGAGGCACAGTTCCAGCTTTAAGCAATTCTAAGTAATTAATGTTCCTTTATTTTGCCTAGAAGTCCTGACTTCAGCATTCTCTTAGGATACAAATTCTTCTAGCCAGAGCTGCACAATACAGATTAACTCAACTAGAAGACAATTAGAGGAGGCAGATGAAGATGTAATTTGTCAGTCTGTACACACTGTTACTTCTAACCTTGGATGCAATTTTTATTAACACAGCAGACTGATTTAAACAGAGGCAGAGACCTATCTGTAACCATATGATTGCCTAATCTGCAAGGAACGTTGAGATTTGAAAATTCTACGTGACCAAATGACAAAATAAAGTGAATGAAGTCCCAGATTACATCTGCTGTACAGCTCTGTCCAGCTACAGGAATTAAATAACTGATTATACACTTAATAATTTTAAACATATCATACACGATGGAGGAAATCTTCCTATATTTATTCATCCCGCAATGTAAATCCCTCGATTAAAATGCCAAGCTGAGCAGGAAGCAGAAGCTGGCCTGGTGGCTAGCATACGGAAAAGACGGAATTTGATTGCCAGAGATGTTATTGCATTTGCATGCTGTGTTGGGTAACCTGTCTGGGTCCTCGCAATCGTGTCTTTAAAATGGGCCTAGGAATACGTTTCTCCCAAAAATGTGTTTGGTTTTGCATTTCGTGGGTGTTTTGATGCACTGTTTTGTTAGTTTTCAAACTAACAAACTTGTTAGTTTGCCAACCAGTTGAAGATTCTTTCAAGCTGAGCAGGAAGCAGAAGCTGGCCTGGTGGCTAGCATACGGAAAAGACGGAATTTGATTGCCAGAGATGTTATTGCATTTGCATGCTGTGTTGGGTAACCTGTCTGGGTCCTCGCAATCGTGTCTTTAAAATGGGCCTAGGAATACGTTTCTCCCAAAAATGTGTTTGGTTTTGCATTTCGTGGGTGTTTTGAAGATGACTTGTTTGCCAACCAGTTGCAGATTCTTTAAGAAGAGGGGCAAAGTAAAAAAGAGAAACGCAATTAAGCGTCCTTTCTTATTTTCACTACAACATAAGACAACACTTGCAATATTTCATATTCAGCTTTGAAACCCAAGACATACAGAGTAACAGGACGAAGCAGAAGTTTTTCAAGCTTTTTACCCAATTTCCAGACACCACTGACCATTGAACAGTACCATACACCAAGAGACACGTGGCAGAAGACATCACACTTCCCTTTCTCTATCCAACCCAACCGTAGCAACCATTACCTTCGTTTCCATAACTGCAAGAAGCGGAGGCTGAAGACCATGTCCTTCACCCAGCAATTGATGGCACTGAAGGGAAAGTTGGAACTGCAGCTGAGGAAGAGGAGAGCAGAGCAGGACCTCACTCGCAGAGGTCTGTTACTGTACTGGTGAGAGGCTCCAACGGTTCTTTTCCAAATGTTATTGTTCACGTGGACTCCAGATTGGCAGGCCTTATGTGCTTTTAATATGCATTGATATAAAAAGAAATATGACATTCTTGATCTACAAAGCCTCTCTTCTCACAGATTTGTCAACATTTGCACATGGTCAGAATCAAGGTCCAAGAAAGGCAAATCTTGCCAAATCTGACAAAATCCTAAAAGGTTCACATCTTTTTTGCCTGGATCTTACCTTTACAATCCTTTCTACAAATCTCTTCCAAAATATGGTTGCAATGTGCTTGTGCTTTTAAGCGAGAAGGTATATTAAGTGCACAGCAAGGACCTACATTTTTGTGCGATAGAGAAATCAACAGTGGCGATTTTCAAATATCTCAGAGAGCACCAAGTCTTCTCTGACACCTCAAATGCAATCATAAACACACAAAGACACTTTGAAAACTTAATTCCTGAGAAATTCCTTTTTTATTCCCGATGGAAAGAAAAAAGAATCGGCCTCTGCCTGGAGTGACAGTAGTTTTTCTCAGCTGCATAGTCTCGAGACATAAAACATAAGACCGAAGATCTTTCACTAGTTCATTTTTTATTACAGACCCTTTTCACCAACGTTTGTGCTGGAAGCTCAGTTTTATACAGCTTTGGGCCTCAGAAAAGCTCCGACACGGCATGCATCCCCCGCAGCCCCCATCCAACTGTTGCCCCATGGTACAGGAATAGCACCTGAGCTGCTGGCGAACCATCGGCAGCTCAACGGAGAGGCTGGCCGCTGCCGCTGCATTCTGCTCACCATTGCGTAAACCTCCACCAGAGTTCTGATGTTAGAGCAGGGCATGCTGGTCTCTAGACTTTTTTGGTTGAAAACATCATCTTCCAGACGTCAGAAAGCATAAGTTATTTGTTACTAGTAATATTTTTCATACTTTTAAAGATTTGCAGTAATCCATGACTGTAAAGGCTGTCAAATCCACTGAAACGCTTCTTATTGAAAAATTAGGCCTGCATATCCGTAGATCCTCCCCTCCTTCATCCATCCAAATTAAAGACGTAATTCCCAAAGACAGCCACTCTTCTAAAACACTACACATTTCATGTAGTTGTTATTAATAAAGTATGAACAATGTTTGCAGAAACATTAAAGAATCAGGTCAAGAATGCTGTCTGAACACAAGTGTTATTTAATAAGCCAATCATCCAACTTTTGAGTAATTAATGTCCTTGGTTTTTACTTGAAAGCCTCATTTTCAGCACGTTCATAGGAGACGTCAAAGCAAATGAACACAAATTAACTCTTTTGGATGCCAGTTACAAGAGAAGGATGAAAATGCAATATTGGCAGGCTAGATACAAAACGTTGCCGCACAGCACTGCTCATCGAAGGGTAAGTTTAGGTACCATCGGATGATTTCACTACATATGGTCAAAGGATTTGATCTGTTCCCATCTGTGCACTATCTGAATATCTAAACAATTGCCATAAAGCATTTGAAAACTTTAAAATATAAAAGGAAAACTAACAAAGCTGATGGTATCTCCAGATCACTGCATGAAGTACTAATAAGCGACTGTGTTATACAATCCGTGTTCAACAGACTGAAAATGATCTTTCCCAAATCCAAATGACATACTTCTAAAGCTGAAAGTGATAGATTACAGCTGGCTGAGCAAGCACTGTACTGTACGCTCATTTTAAAAGCTGCCATTGTAAAAGACCCTCCAGGCTTTTTGTTGGTTCCTTTGCGCTTCTTAACAAGAACTGCAAAGCTCCTCTTATTTACCAGTATAGGGAGGTGGGAAAAAACTAACAAGAAAGAGAGGTTTATTTTCCTAAAGATATGCAGTAAGATTACTTTCAATCAAAATAGCACTTCTATGGACCAAGTATGATATTTTTATTTCATCACCTCAAAACATGATAAATATTTGCAATTGGAAACAGTTATGAGTACAAAATCTGAAAATTTAATATTAGAATTATTAGAAAATGTGTCTTTACAACTAATTTATAGTCTCTGTAGAGGACACCCTATCCTCCTCTCCACCAGACAACCATTAAGACACAAAAATACCCTCAGGACAGAAGTTGCAGAACTTGTCGTATGCGCTCACACTTCTCCAACAGGTTTGGGTCTTCTGCATCGGAATCGTCCAATTCCTTCATAAAAGCTTCAGCCTTCTGCACAGTTATGTCTCGTGCACCGCCTTGAAGCCCTTGCAGATAATCCAGTAAAATGGTGAAATACTCGTCTGGAACCTTTAAAGAAAAAAAAAAAACAGGGAAGAAAAAAAAACAACTGCTTTATTTTTGTCTCAATACTCATTCACAACCATGTCAAGCCATCACCTGAAAGATAATTAGGAGAACTGCATGGGCTTTTGTGTTTGCCAATGCCCACCTCCGAGTGGAAGTGTTTCTTGCCAAGGTTCAAGCTGCCGGGAGGGATGGACCGTGGTGAGAGGACTGTCATGTGCTCAGATGGGCAAAGCATCTGAGAGGAAATTCTAAGCAGATGTGGAAATGCTGATCAGCAAATGCAAACACTCCCTGACAGTGAGCTCAAGGCTGTGAGGGTTGCTGGAAGAAAAAAAACCCACTAGCCAAATCCTACTTTTGGAAACATGTATGCGAACCTTACTAAATTCAGTGAGAACTGCATGCAGATGTCCGAGGAAAGAATTTTGCTGGAATTACCCTCGCCCCTACCCAAAATTATCTCTTTGCTGAGATGAGATACCACCCACCATCAAGCGCTTTGACAGAATGCTTATACAAAGGAATAGAATTTAATTTGAAAAACAAATTGAATTCAGACATATGGAAATAATTTTTAAATCATGCTGAATAAAACTGATAGGCTCTACTAACATGTCTAACATTAAAAGCAGTTTAGTCACCTACAGTTGCATTACCCCCCTTTCACTCCCTAATTAACTAGTCATAGGTTAAATTTTAGCTTATCTGGTAAAACATACAATTTCAATGATCACTACATTAAATAATCTCGGCAATAACCTAGCAGAGACTTTTGAATGATTTATTCCATATTTCAAACCAATGTATTTTCAAAAGTATTAGGTGAACAGATCTATGCTGAAGCATATCTTAACTTTATGTTGTATATCTGTGGAACAGGTTTCAGCCAATAAGAGAGTATTTTTGCTGTGAATCAGGAGATGTTAAAATGACCTAATCCTGCAAATATTTTTCTCCATGTTTAGCTTTACACATATAACTTTAAAAGGCATACTCGACATGAGTCAAGTTCAACACATACGTAAGTATTTAAAGGATTGGAGACTAATTATTGGAGGGCTGTTTCAATTCTGCAAAGTATCAACATTTCAGAGAAGACAGAGCTTCAACAGATACTTAATTTACAACTTATTTCTCCATCGACATTTGGCAGCATAACTTTGATCACTAAAACTTCTATCACTCCAAAAGAAGAGGAAGAAAGAATATTCTAACTCTGCCTTCATCAATCAGGATATTACAAAGCAATAAATCAAAGCTAAAGGCTGCATTCAGCCTCATAACTTATACGCTATGGAAAACCTTCTAATTCTTCACACAAACACTCTTGATTTAAAGAAACAATACAGATACAAAAAAATATTAATTTTACAGTGACTAACACTGAAATGGATGATATATGAAGTGTTGCTATAATATATGAATCAAACATTTAAACATAACGAAAAATGTCTCTATATTTGAAACCTTTTTACTCACAGTAAACTGGTACTAATAACAGACAAAAACATTCAGGCATAAAACAATTTCAGCATGATAGTGCTCCTGTAATGCAGATGCTCAGTACTGGTTTTTTAAAGCTCAGCAACATTTCTGTTTCAAACCTTAGCCAAATTATCTACATAATTTACACCTCTTGTTCTCAGACCTCGTGGTACAGTCATATCTCACTGTGTGGAATTACAGCTATTATTATATCATTTAAGCAAAGTGCTTGAAGGGGCAATTAAAAGCCTACTCTAAACTTGGAAATACTAAATGTGCAGACAGACATGTGGCTGCCTGAAGCTTAGAAAGCGTTAAGCATTTGGTCCTAAGGATAAGTGCTCGAGTGTTCAAAAAGACTGATTTCTTCTTTAGCACATCTATTACATTTACAGTACAGAACCATGTAGGCAAAAGAATATCATATTTTTTCCTCCCAACTTACACATACAGCAGAGCCATAGCAATGACTGGACAACAGAACATAGAAAGTGCTGGCAAAAAGCTAATGAAATCCAAATTTTAATTCTTAAAACACAGTAGTATAAGAGCTGAAATTTCAGGGACTCTTGGTGAGGTTTTACAAGAAGGAACACGATCCTTCCCTAAGATCAGCTTTTGGTCAGGCCTGAAATTGGATCTCTAGATCTCCCACCATGGCTCTGGCAAGGGGAAGCGATGCTTACGGGATTTAATTATTAGTCTTTTGTTAAACTGTTTTGGCCGCCTTCTTGTTTCTTTTTCTCTCTCGCACACCAACCTTGCCTCTGTTCTAACTAGCTGATATGCACTGGAGCCGAGTAACATGGAAACATCCCAAAGTGAAATCCCGTCAGCTCCTGAACGCTCAGGAGCTACGCGACATCGGGGAGAGGGGGGAAACACTACAGAACGGTGGTAAGAAAAGAACAGTTACTGCTTTTAAATTCTACTATGTGACTCAAGGGTTTCAGACTTTTCAGACTTGCGGATGCCCACGTATTTTGCAAAGCAAAATCAGATACCGGCACAGAGAACTTCAGCTTACTGCCGTCGTTTTTCTCAGTTACCTTCTGAGGAAGCTTCAGAACCCCCCCAGTTCTTGCAGTCCAGAAGCTGGAGACAGCTGTTGAAGTTACTTTCTAGAAAATGCCGTGCCAGATGACAAAGAGCAACAAACAATCTCGTGTTTATTTTATACCAGATCCTGAAGACGTTTGTACGCTGTAGGTATACGGGCTTGGCTTGGAAGCTGTCAGCCAACAACCAGAGAGATTTTAAAGGGACTCAAAAAAACCTCTCATGTTGCAAAGGGCTTTAAAGCCTCAACTTATTCCTTACAGACAGGCCTATCAGTGCAGGAAACTCAATTCACTCCTTTGCATGGCTTTTCAGTGGGCATCCAAGTGACACCATGAGATCAAAGACGTGGCTTAGGAAGGAAAGAAACTCATGTCTCCTTTTGTATTTTAGTCATGCTTGGATATCAAACAGATTTTATTCTGTAATGGACAGGAAGTTGAATTGGAGTATAAAAAAAAATATTCAAAAGGAGCTGGTCTGCCCTCCCTACAGTCCCGATGAAGAGAGAGACTTCAGCATATGCTTAATTATAAGCACTCAAGCACTTCTACTAACTTTACCGAATCTGGATGCTGATGTTAATAATCTCTGATTATTACATTACAAAATATGTGAATTTAAATAAATCGTAACACTTTCATCAGATTTTTAAAAAGTAAAAAGGCAGTTTCATTTCAGTGTTGAGAACTAAGGAGTTAAGCTGTGTTTTGATACATAAACCAAATGGTGCTTACAGTCAATAATTTCCCAGAATATTTCAACACAAACCCCAAAGTAAACAGGTAAAAAAGCAAAAACATCTTTCTGCCTGCGAAACAATTTCTAGGTAGCTTTAAAGAGCATATATTGATTCTGAAAGGTTGCTAAAGACTTTTAAAGGAGAAACTTAAAAATAGAAGATGATGCAAACAACCTAGATACCTACAATCCCACGTATTCAGCAACTAATTGTTTTAAAGTATTACACTGCGTGAATATTTTTGCCTTCATAAATCGCTGCTTTTAATTATCTGGTTCTCTAAAAGTATTTTTAATCATAAAGGTAACACCCTGTGTCAGGTGATTGGCTTAAGAGCTGCTGAGTAATTTGGGTCAGGAAGATTGGCATGCTTAAGTGCTTAATGTTTGCACACAAAAAAATCAGCAAAAACTAACTGAATGTCAACTAAACGAATCAATAAACAAGGCACAGTGCAAATGGCTTGATGTTTGTTCTATTACACAACCAAATGAATGACCTGAAACTCCCCCCTTCAATACCACAATGGTCAGATGCTTATTGGAAATTCAATATATGTTGGTTTTTAAGTTATGAAATGAATGGATTTCAGTAATAATGCAAACCTAGCTTCTGGTTATACTTGATGCTTTTTACAATCAACAGCAGGTTTCACTTATATTTTAATGAGAAAGCTATTTTAACATCTTGGCAATATGGCTGTACATCTTATATGGAGCCAGAGATATCTGAAGCAATATGAGAATCGTGGTTTACAGTATTGGGTTCCACATTCAGAAATTCAAATTAAGGATATGACTCAAGGTCTCAGTAAGCTCCAGATTTATATAAAACATGTATCTGCTCTATTTATGCCTGACATTTATCAAATAGAAAAATCTAGGATACACAGGAGAATGATCACCAACAAAATTTTAAAAAATAATTATAAGTAATTAAAATGATTCACCATTTTGGTTAAAAACATAGTAATTTATTTATAAATTATTTTTAAAATATTAGACAAGTGCATGGCTAGTACTAGCAACTTTTGGTTAATAAAAAATAGCTATAAATAATGTATAAAACTTTATATAATTTTTGTTCAGAGAAAAAGCAGCATTAATACAAACCTTCTCTTTATCATACATGTGCAAGAGAAGCCAGGTTTGTCTTGTCTTTTGAAACTTCCATTCTTCTGGGTTTTCAGACCAGCTGTAGTAAATAAAAAAATAAATAAATTTTTAAAAAAGCTTAAATGAAATACTGTGTGATCGAAATATTCATTATTTATACAATATTTCCTACAATGACTCCCAAGTGACTTTGTATGCACGACGTGCAGTTTCATGACATTATGTGAAACAGATACCAGCGCACATTTTGTACAAGCGGCAAAAAAGAACACGAGAGTTGGCTACCTGGCTTCCATGCAAAAAGCAAAAAGATTATAGGAAGACATTATAGCCAAGAATATTATAAATTTTCTTCAGAAAGCACTGCTTCCCTGAAGTTAAAAATCAAGTCTCCCTCCTCACCATTGAGCAGTCCTCTAGGAGGGGTCATTGCCCTCATTTGATCCACGACAACCAAGAGCCCCAAATCCTGCAGGGCTACCTGAGTGTTTGGGGAGGTGGAGTGGATGAAGAATCAAGTTTAGGTTTCAGAAAGCTAATACTTCCCAATAAACTGAAATTAATATAAAATTAAGCAGCCTCTAGAGGACTGGAAGGAGAAACTAGTGCTAGAATGGTCAGCTCAGCAATGGTTGAAGCCCATCCCAGGTGAACTTCTCCAGAGCACTGAAAATCCATTTTTCAGGAGCATATGTTTTAAGGCTTGGATTTGCTTAAAGGTGTGACTTAAATATTGACCTTTACAGGACAGAAAATGCTTTTTATGTCTCGCTCTCCCCAGGAATTCTAATTCCAATATTTAGCTCAGAACATCAGGCTGCTTCAATGCCGTTAAAAGGGAGCGGGTAAAACAAATTATTAACATCTGCAAATGTTCTTTGACTGTTTAGCAAACACATTTTAAATATACCAAATTTTAGCTGGGCAAAATGGCACATTTACATACATCTTAAACATAATTTTAAAGCTGGTATATTCTGATTTAGATGAAGAGACCGACCTATTTATTTCTATGAGCAAACTAGCAAATCTCACTAAAAGACTGCTTTTTAAAAGTATGTGCTGGAAAATTAACATCTTAACATGTACAAAATTTGCCAGTATAACCAAATATCATTTAAAGATCCAGAAGAAAATATGAGGAGAAAAACCAGCAAATTTTACACTTCTTTGATTTTTCTCTAAAGAAAAACAAGTCTCCAGAGGGTAGCATGCAAGATGTCTTTAATGTTCCAGCTTGCTTTACACAGCAACAGAGAGCACAGAAATCAATTGAAAAGCCAGCTGGGTATGAGAATTAGTATTGTTTAAACACTGTCAAGTCTAATAAAGCAAAAGAGTCCTCATATTCGGTGAATGCTGCACCAGCAAATACATTGTTCAGTCAATTCAATGAAAGAGAAAAAAACCAAGACCACAAATTAGTACAGAATGGTTTCACGGAAGCTTCTGCAGAAAACCCAAAAGGAAAAAATTATTGTCTTGACTTTCAAATTCAGGATAAAGAAAAAGCATCAACAACTCACTAGGGTTATCACTAACTAAACTGTCTGTAACCAACATATAAGGGAAAAATCAGACAAATAACAGTAAACTAGGAAGGACAGACAAAACACTAATAACCACAATATGTCATATTTTACATGCTCAAATTAAATCCACAAAGGAACTGATTTAGAGATCTCTTTGGGACATTGTCAATAAATAGGCATAAGTTTGCAAAACCAATATTGCACAGAAGCAGGAGCCCAAAAGCTGACTGCCAAAAGTTACAGAATCAAATAAAAAATTGTTATGATGGGGAAACCATCCTTCTCCCATCACCATCAACCTAGAAACCAAAGTACTTGCAAAATAAAGATCATTCAGCCTTTGGTGTCACTTGCCTTTGCAGCAAGGTGCCCAACTGGACAACAACTGTCAAAATTACACCACCTGTAATGCAAGGAGCTGACAGAGAATGAAATAAAAAGGGTTTTTCTTGTGGGTGCAGTTTGTGGGGCAAGCTACTTGCTCATTTGTGCCCAATTTCCCTGTTTGCCAGGCACATGCAGTAGCTCCTAACTGAGAAACTGGAATTTCTGCAGGAAGTGACTTCACTTCTACAACTCCTTCAAAAAACCCAAAAGAAGACAATGGTGGTGGTTGCTGTTAAAAGAAACATATTCTTTTATGAGGTTCATCCTTCTGAACAATTACATGGAAGATGTTCTAAGAAATGCTGTCTATTTGCACAGCATCAAGAAGAAGGTAAATATAGAATTCTTTTTTACGTTAAATAAGCCTGGAAACAGTTTACATTATAATCTTTGCAAGGTGACGAGAACAAGCTGAATGACAGATCTATGACCGCATCCTGTGAAAACAGTCCCTCTTCTAATGAAAACCTTTAACACATGTTTTTATTTCTTTAAACTACGCTATGTATTTATACATTTGCAATTATATTCGTTGGTTAGACACACCACATAGTACTCTGAATATTTTATTCTCTGCTAATTTTATGTTTCTGTCGCTCACACTATCACTTGAGTACTGTTAGGCATTAACTTGAAAAATACAGCCTGTTTTCACTAATCTCCTATAAAGCTATAGGATGTTAAAATATCTTTATTACCTAGTTTATAAACAACTGAGACCAACAAATGAGTGCACTATAAGGTTAATTGCTCTTACTAGCCTATTACCAAAACCATATGCTCTCTTCTACACATTAAGGCAAGCCACTACACTCCTGCATCTAAGATCCCACGTTGACTTTCACTCTACTGAATTCTCTTGCAGAAAAAACCTGAAAGCTTCAGCTACTCTTCCTGAAAGGTTTCACTCTATATACACCATAATAATTCATATAAACAACAAATACTTTAACATCATCAATGGCAGAAAGTACGTTTGTGGCCATTATAGCACTGGACCCTCACAAACCGGTTCTTTAGGTTTGCACTCTGTCCTATTAGAATCAAATGCTGAATAAGCATGGTAAAAAAAAAGTCGTGTTTTCCTTAATAGACTATGGGGGTACTCATATTTTCAGAAAATGCTCCCAAGGTTTTAACTGGTACTCTAGCCATGGTTGCATCAATTCCTGTTCCCCCCCGCCTTCAGGAAAAGGGTCCTTCTCTTGACCTTAATTCCTATCACACTGTGGGCAAAACACTCACGATAATGGATGCGCAATCTTTAAGGCAGATAACGTGGCCGTGGCTCCCTGTAATTAGACCCCCCCAACAGTTATTAAAATACAACTTTTCCACTGATTCCTATGATTTTTTTTTTCCTGCTCCTACAACAGCTTTAAAACCTATGGAAAGTATCACTCCATGACAAAGCGAGAAGGGTATCTGCTTTTATCAGAATGACATAATCAGTACATTTTTAGAAATGTTCAACTTTTAAACTACAAAAGTTAAAGCTTTGTAACACAAAAGAGGTCTCATTTTGCTGTTTATCTGCAGATAAGCTTCCTTGACATACTACAGCAGTAGAAAAGGCTTTTCCTTTGAGTGATTAAATATACAGAGTAAGACCAACTACATTAGAGTTTAAAAAAACCTTTTTCTAGACAATCACAACCTCTTTCACGGTTTGAATTACTTTGGTAGCCTTTAGGAGTATCTATGTCCACATCTAATATAAACTATGGAATTGGATGAAAAATATACATGTATAAAACATGTATTTTTCCAGTATGCCTAGGGCTAATTTTCAATATATTGTACAAACACTAATTGCCTTCTTTACACAGTTAATGTTTGAATCTTTCTTACGAGCTCTAGCTCATTGAAAACATACATCGGTTGACTTTAGTTAAAGAGAACTTTTATGTTTGTGCAAATGATCGTCCTAAATGGCTTTGAAATTGAAGATACAGAGGAAATGAATCAAATGCATCGAGCGGCTTAGGGAATTTTACATTTGGGCTTTTGGGTTTTAGCATGAGAGTCTCATGTAGAAAAACTGCCCGAGATTGTCACTGATCTACCCCATAAATGACTTTTAGCCTCTACTTTAAAGTAATCTCTCTCACACAAATCGATTCCCAAAACAGGACTGAGTTGCACCTTCCCAGCTGCTCAGCACAGATGTAATTTGCCTTTAAAATGCTTAACCACGTCCCATCTCAACAGTGTGACAAACCCAGGACATTTTTGGCGCAGAGTACGTAGGCAAACAGAAGACAACTGGTAGCACGCAGGGCAGAGCGCTCCCTGGGATGTCCTAGCAGAAAGAGAAGGCAAAGGGAAAGTAGTCAAATTGATTCCAGAAACCCAGTAAGAGAAAAACATTATTGTTACAAATTGGATTCAGGAAGACAACACAACGCCTCTGCTTAGCCTGCTGGCCAGGACAAAACACTACGAAGCTGTCTCAATTATCACACAATCTCCTACGGGTAGAAAAGCACTGTGCTGAGAACCAACCATTTTACTCATTCAAGTGAAAAGATTATTGGGTAGGAGACAAGTCTTAAGAAACCAGAAAGACAGACAGACATGTGACTGCTGGTAAGCTTCCAGAGGACACGAGAGCACTGCCGCACATGAAATGCAGGGACATCTGCATCCAATTTTGGGCCACTGACTGTGCAGCCTACCTGTGATACACCCTCCAGCTTGGATACCTATCCACAGTAAAGCAGAGTGATGCCACATTTAGATTTTGCCAGCATACAGCCCAGGCTTAGCATCAAGGAATTCATTTGAAAGGTTTCTCCAGCCCTGAGGACCAGGTCAGCGTGGAGCCTCCTCCTGCTCTCTTGCGGTTTACCCATGAGGACCCTTACGTCTTAATGTGTCAAGCTTCACTGAATCTCAGAGGAGGGACAGATAAACAGATCTGGTTAATTACACCATATTCAGGGCTACACTGAAAAGATCTATGGAAAAACGTTAAAAGCGGTGTACTGCCAACACCATACAGAAATTGTCACATTCTTCTCACCCCATTTATCTGGGTACTTTTCTGTTCTGATACACTCGGTTATTCATCACCCTGAAACCTTTCTTTAAGGATCACCTACGGTCTTTAAGGATCACCTATGTTCTTCTACGTCTCCCACACGGAAGGCTGAATAGA